TTACAGTAAAAAAAGTTATTTAATCCACTGAATAAATTAATCCAATAATTAACGTGATGGATTAATAACTAACCATTAAATAGCTACTAATTTATTAAATATTTAATCCATTAAAAATCTAGTGAGGGAAATTTAGAGAAAGGGAAGGAAATCTAATGAAGTGATTCGGTTATTGGTGATTTATTGTGTTTTCCTTCCTCACTTTTATTCAACATCCCTCAATAATTGACTTTATTGCATTGTAAGGGGTTGGTTGGTGAGCTGCACTTAGAGTCCTGAAGTTGTGTGTTCACTTGGCAACAACTGACTCATTACAGGACTTAGTGCATTGCGTGGCCATATCATGCTCACTTTCCCCTCTTTTGCACTAATGTTTTTAAAATGCTTTTAGAATGGAGTCATGTCTCTTTGCTGCCACCTTAGTCATTAGCCAGACTACATTTTTAGAAACTTTAATCTTTCTTGTAGCTCAGTCAGACCGATCCTATAATCATTTGGGTTTCTTTTTTCTTCACCCCCTGTAATTTGTTTTTATGTTACATTGACACCCTAACCTAGAAAGAATCACCTTAATGCACTGATTGTGTCATACTCCAAAAAGGATCGCCCTCATCAGATTTGTTTGTGATACTTTAGAGTTCTCTCTCCTGACTTGAGCCTATTTCATGATCACAGGGCCGGGGAGATTGTGGAAAGGGCTGGAGTTCCGAGTTTGGATGCGGGAGCCCCAGGTTTGATCTCCAGTATCCCTGGTTTCCTGAGCACTACCAGACGCAGTCCCCTTGCGCACCACTCGATAAGGCCTCCAAACAAACAAAATTAATTTGATGACATCTAGAAATGATGGCTCCATTCATTCATTCCCTCACTGACTCAGTAAAGATGAAGAGCTTATAAATAAATATTTGGTAATAGCTCAGTCCTGGGAATCCAAGTTGCGTTAACTGTGTTCCTAAGGAAATAGTTTCATTGTACAGGCATTGATGTGTACATTTGACCTACATTATTTATATAATAATCCAGACTCAAAATTTCAGATCTTTTCTCAGAGACTTTGATTCAGTAGATCTAACTTCATGTCATTGAGAGCTTTTAAAAGGAACTTTTAAAAAGTTCCTTTTAAAAGCTTTTAAAAGGACTGACCCGGGTTCAATCCCCAGCATCCATACGGTCCCCCAAGCACTGCCAGGAGTAATTACTGAGTGCAAAGCCAGGAGTAACCCCTGTGCATTGCTGGGTGTGACCCAAAAAGCAATTAAAAAGAAAAAAAAAAACCTATGGGGCCAGAGCAACAGTACAGTGGGTAGGGCCTATGCCATGCACACGGCCGACCCGGGTTCAATCCCTGGCATCCCATATGGTCCCCAAAGCACTGCCAGGAGTAATTCTGAGTGCCGAACCACCAGGAGTAACCCCTGAGCATCACTGGGTGTGACCCAAAATGCAAAAATAAATAAATAAAAATGTTCCGCAGAGGCCAGAGAAATTGTACAGGGATTAAGACACTTTCCTTGCACATGGTTAACCCAGGTTTAATCTTCTGCACACAAGGAGATCCCTCACCATAGGATTCCCATACGTGGTTCTGATAACCCGCCCCAGTTGGTCTAGGTAAAATTGAGTTAGGGTTCCTGTATACGGTACAGGAGGTAAAGCATTGGCCTTGAAAAGGGCCACTTTGCCGATTAAGTAAAAGGTTACCAGAAAGTTAGCCAGACCACCAAGAATTGGGCAACTTGCAAAAATCAGGGATAAAAAGAGTGCAAGAACAGGGGAGGGGGCCACTCTCCTACTAGAGGGGTCACCCTGACCAGTCAGCTTTCTCAGCTTTCTGAACTCAACGCTTACTTGACTTGTGCTGAATAAAACTTTTTTAAAAAGCAAGAAAGAAAATGGCCACTTGCGACGAACACTGCTTCAGTCCCTGACACTGCAGATAGTCTGATAAACAAACATCATCAGGTGTGTTCTCTGGATGCCCCAGAGCCCAACCTCCCTCCCCCCTCATCTACACCCCCCCCCCAATCAAACTTAGGAGTCATCCTCACGCTTATAAAAAGAACAAAGTCTCCCTGATGATTCAGCTCCACCACCAAGCTCTCTGGATCTAAAGACCCATGGCTTTTAATGTAAAGTTTCAGTTGCCTAAAGCCCTCCTGGAATTCTTTAGGCCATTTTCAAAATACTGATTTGTAGAACTTAAGATTTATGAAATTGGCCTGTTCATAGGAAATTAGTTTAAATAAATGACTCCCCCCCCCCCTTTTGGGGGGGCTTCAAATCGTGCTTTATGTGTCAGCTGTAGTGAACAAATTTCCTTTCTCTGAACTTGTATTATGGAAGAAACAAGATAAAATCATGATTAACCACCTCTCCTATTATTTATGCTTGACCCTATATTTTTAAATGTAGGAGTACTGCTATTTATTCAGCCACTCATTAGCTGATTGAATTGGGCATGAATTCCACCTTACCTTTTTTTTTTCATTTTTTATAATTTTATTTATAGAATCACCGTGAGAGCAGTTACAAAGCTTTCAGGTTTAAGTCTCAGTCATACAACGAAACACCCGTACCTTCACCAGTGCCCATTCTACACCAACAAAAACCCCTGTATACCCCCATCCCACACCCTCCCCCTACCTGTGGGGCAGATGATTTCCAAATTACTCTCTCTCTCTACTTTTATCACATTCAATATTTTGACACCAAACCCACCATTATTATTTGGGATTTCACCCCAACACTCAGATCTGCTGAAAAGGCAACCGTAGACTATTTGTTTTCTATTGCTGGTTATGAATAACATATGATGTCGCATGGCTGCAGTAGTGGCCGTGCGATTTTGAAATTCCGAAATTTTAACAATTAAATCTGGAGGGATTTCTGCCAAACCCTGCTGGGTTCTTAGATTTGTTCCTGAGTCTCTGGGATCATGGCCGTTAAGCAGCTCGATCAGGAGCCAGAAAGGCCGTTCGTGGGCGATGAGTTGGGGTTTCGTAGGAAAAGGCCAGCTCCACCCCCTTCCTGTGAGGCCCCAGGTGTCTTGTCACTAAGGGCCCAAACCTGACTGTCCAATGGCCTCTGGAGGATGGCGGCCACTGAGCTGCCTAGGGGGAGCAGGTAGAAGGACAGCACCCTTTCCCCCCTGCGGTGACCCGACGACAGTAACCTTTTTTTGCTTTTTAGGTCAACTACTGGTGTTAAGATGCACAGGGGTTACTCCTGGCTCATGCACTCAGTAATTATTCTGACAGTGCTCAAGGAACCATATGAGATGCTGGGAATCAAACCCGGGTCGGCAACATGCAAGGGAAATGCCCTACCCGCTGTGCTATCACTCCAACCCCCCATCCCCAAGTTTATCATAATATTCTTCAAATGTTATTTTAAAGACAACTTTAGGTTCAGAGAAGGGAAGAAACTCTAGAGCTCTTTGTCACTGTCACTGTCACTGTCCTCCTGTTGTTCATCAATTTGCTCGAGCAGACCCAGTAACCTCTCCATTGTGAGACTTGTTATTGTGTTTGCCATATCGAATACGTCATGGGTAGCTTGCCAGGCTTTGCCATGAGGATAAGATACCCTGGGTAGCTTGCCAGCCTCTCTGAGAGGTCGGAAGAATCGAACCCGGCTCGGCCAGGCTGGCTGGGTGCAAGGCAAATGTCCTACCGCTGTGCTATCGCTCCAGCCTTAGTACACTTTTAAATTTCAGTTTTTTATATTTTTTTATTAGTTTTTCCTTTACTGAAGCCCAACTCTCTGAGGTATATAGTGAAAACAGCATGGACAAGTTTTCAGTCTTGTGAAGCAGGGATAAAATTAGTTCTCTTGGTTTAAAGGATGATTCAAACTGAATTTTAAGTGCTACTTTTCATGTTGCCACAGATGGAAAAGTGCTGCCCATTCAAATGTTATAAAATATTATGCTCTAATTTTGTCTCATGTGTGCTTTGATTTATTTTAGGGCAGTGTTCCTTTCATCATATTTGTTTCACTTAAGTAATCTTCACATAGTTTGTCTTCACATAGCTGCAGTACCTATTTTTGCCTTTATAAGATGGCCAAATATTATGTATTTTTTATTTTATTAATGGCATAGTATATGTTTATTTGATCATGATATGATGGATGCATTGAATTACTCCAAATGCGTGCTTGAAATTCTTATAAATCCATGGTACAGTTGTTAAACATACTGAGCATTTTTAACTCAGCAAAAAAAAGATCACATTCATTTAAGAATTAGCTTGTAAGCCAAAAATGACAGATGTAGCATTACAGCTGAGAAGTAAACTGGTTGAAGAAATCATGTAAACAGTGGAAACATTTGGACAAAAACCTAAATATCCTTTAGATTATATTCTTATTTAAGTTGTCATTATTAAGAAGTTGATGTTTTTTGAAATTTCTCAGAGCCTTCTTTGCCATTTACAAAATTTTACAACTGAAAGGAAAAGATGAGTTAGTTTTATCCAAATTTATCATTGGAATTTCATTTCCTATAATTGTATATGCATATTTTGTGCATCGGTAATTGCTTTTCCAATTTTCATTCAAAGTTGCTTTGGTTCGATACGTAGGTATAGATTTGAAAGTTTTTGAAATTTTCTATCATAATAACTTAAAAGGAACAGTTGGTACAACAGTAGGTAGCACTGCCACACCAAAATAACTCTTAAGAGTTTTCTTCTCTCTCTCTCTCTCTCTGTCTCTGTCCCTCTCTCTGTCTCTCTATCTCTGTCTCTCTCTCTCCCTCCCTCCTTCTCCCCCTCCGTCTCTCTCTCTGTCTCTGTCCCTCCCTCTGTCTCTCTGTCTCTGTCTCTCTCCCTCCCTCCCTCCTTCTCCCCCTCCGTCCCTCTCTCCCTCCCTCCCTTTCTCCCTCCCTCCCTCTCTCTCATTTTGGTTTGGTTTGGGACTTTCTCCAGTAGGGCTCAGAGACCACTCCAGCTCAGTGCTCTGACAGTACCTCTTGAGGGACACAGGAGAAGAGTTCACCTCGCCTTCATGCTGCGTATTCACTTTTGGAAACCAGTGTATGCTACGTCATTAAAAGTATAGGCTGAATACTTTGTAGCTTTCCTGACACTGATTGTACTATCTTGATCATGGGAACTGTATAAGTAACAGTTTGATTTATACATATTTATATATCTATATATCTATGTAGATATATACACACACATATACATATATATATACACTAATAGGCATATTAAATATACCGAGTTGGTATGTACTTTGAACAAAGAGGATCTTGGTTGGTTCTCCTTAACAAATGGCAAATAAATATAATCGAAGACTTCAACTGTGATATTTATAAATATATTGATATATGAATAGTTATTTTTAACAAAATTCAGATTTTTCATAGATGTTTCCAAACTCAGCAATAAATTGTGATAATTATTTTTGTTTGGCTTTTCAATCTTGTGTAGCAGAAAACATTTTTAAAAATTGGAAATTCCAGAACTAATAAGATATTGAGAGGGATTTTATAGAGACTGTAGAGTTAACCAGTGGGTAAGACTTGCTGTATATTGAATAACGTATACCAACACACATTCAGTGGTACTTCTTCCAATCTGAGCATCAGTTGCCTTTAACGAAGATCCAAATATGAAGTAGTCTATAGCTAATATCTAATGCCTGCCTGTCTTTGATCATACGATGAACATTTTCATTGCTGCCATTTCCAAGAGTGTGGCCTCCCCCAAAAGATGAGTGAGCACCACGGCCAGGAAGTGCAGATACTGCCAAGCCTGTGTGCATAAGCAGCCCAGAGCCACCCCCCAAATACGAAAGTTTGCACCACCACCAAAACTTGCACACCTCAGCTCAGGAGTGTGGCCCCCGGGACCACTTTTGCAAGCATTGCAACAAAGGGAATGCTGCAGTCAGTGAGCGCCTTGAGCAGGTGTGCAAGAACCATGACCTGCAATAGTACCACCAGCAGTTCATGGGAAGGAAGGGGCAGAGAGTACTCTGACCCTTGGCTTCCTTATCAGCACCCCAAAATACAACAGCAACAACAGGACGTCCCTAAAGTGCTATTGGAAGGATTCATTAAGCCCCTATAAATACGCCTTCTGCTTTTACTTTCCTGCTCTCCACAGGCCCTTGTTTCTTCCTCCCCCCATCAGCCTCTCTGCATTGACCTCCAGCCTTTCACACATAAACCCACACCTGTGTCAAACAAGTGAGGTCTCCTTCCTGTCTGCTCCACAGTGAGCACTTACCATTCTCCCCTGGCTTTTTCTGTTTATTTATTTGCTCAGAAACAACAGTTGTTGCTGTTGTACTCTGGTCAAGAGATGGCTGTTGGTTGGGGCTGGAGCAATAGCACGGCGGGTAGGGCATTTGCCTTGCACCCAACCGACCCTGGTTCGATTCCCAGCATCCCATATGGTCCCCCGAGCACCCACTGCCAGGAGTAATTCCTGAGTGCATGAGCCAGGAGTAACCACTGAGCATCGCCGGGTGTGACCCAAAAAGCAAAAAAAAAAAAAAGAAATGGCTGTTGGGACATTATATGACTGAAACCCAGTCATGAACAACTTTGTTACTGTGTATCTCATGGTTATTCAGTTTCTGAAAAAAAAAAATGCTTTTAAAATTGAAAAAAACAAACAGTTGCTATTTTGTGACTTTGGTATCTGGACTACACACCATAGTGCTCCAACACAACTCCAGGCTTAGTGATGAGGAAAGCAAATCTCAGAGATGCTCTGGGTGACATGCTTGGCCGGGATTAAACCTGGGCCTACCACATGCAGAGCACTTAACCTGTTGAGCTATCATTCCCACCTCAAGAACTGAGATTTTAAGGGTAAAATACTTATTTATCTACAACAGTCACACATTTGCTTAATATAAGGACTAAATAAATATTTAAATCACAGATTTTTAATAGCATATAACAGCATACTGGGTTCATAATAGCTCCCTGAAAAGGTATAACATATCTTGTCTTGTTTTTCTCTTATAGTAAAATCTACCTGAAGTATTTTTAAATTTCTAACATATAGTAATTTATGCTTAGTAGAAATGTTTTTTATTATTAGTCACACCTGTGCAATGAAGAAAGTGTTCTTTATCTGTGTCATAATAGTATACTTGTAGTTGAATATTTAACTTTGTTATTTGTATCATATTTGATATGCCAAACACAGTAACAACAAGTTTCACAATGTTACTGGGCCCACTGAGCAAATCAGTGAACAACAGGAAGACAGTGACAGTTATTCGTATATTATGTTTTCTTGTTAGTATCCAAATAGGTTCATTTACTAACCTAAAATTTTATATGAGGAGCCTCAGTTTTTTTACAATTTAATGTTCGTATTTCATGCCATTCTTCTTGGTTGGAATTAGAACAGAATAGCATGCGTAGGAAGCAATGATGGTAATCTTGAAAGGCCTATTAATTGAATAGAAATTAATTCACTTTAATTGATGATAATGACTGAAGTTTGCTTCTTACATTTTAATTGTAAATGTCTTACAAAATATAATAATAATAGGAAATAATTTGGGGGACGAAAGGAATGAAAGTAAGACAATGAAGGAAGTTGATTGTTATGTTTTCTTTTCTTTTTTTTTTTTGTCCATGCCCAGCTGTGCTGAGGGCTTACTCCTAGGAGGCTCTGTGTCCAGTAATCACTCCCGGAAGGGCTCCGGGACTCTATAGGGTGAAGAGGCTCAAACCCAGGTCCCACACATGCAAGGCAGCTCCCTTACCCACTATACATCCCTCCAGCCCCAGTTGACATGTTTTTTACTCTGAACATAATCTGTTTTCAAACCTCATGCCTATCTAGCTGAAAAAAATTATTATTTGCTGAATATGCAATAATAGACTAACATGTATTAAAGATAACGTTTATGTTTTTGTGCATCATTATGGTTTCTTTGGCATTTCATATCCTTTCTGTGTCTTTCAGGTACAGAGACCTTCAGCTTAGTACAGAAAGCAAAGTATCAGAATTTCTTCATCAAAGTAAGTTAAAATCTTTCGAAAGTGAACGTATTCAACTTATCCAAGAAGAAACGGCAAGAAATCTCACACAGTGTCAGTTGGAATGTGAGAAATACCAGAAAAAATTGGAGGTACATGTACAAACCTTTCTTTTCAAATTAGCATTTTTAAGAGTTGGAAAGATTATACAGCAGGACAGTGTTCCTTTGCACATGACTGACCTTCCTCTCTTAGACAAATGGGAGGGAAGAAGGTGACTGAATCACTAAGAAACATGAAAATATGGATCATCTCTAATAAATGTGAATTTCAAAATAAATTATTTAGCATCTGCCTTTGGGGCAGGCTTGGGTGGTGGTGGGAAAATTCAAAATAATGGTGATGGGAAGGTGCAGTGGTGGTGGGATTGGTGTTGAAATATTGAATGTAATCAATTATTATGAACAACTTTACAAAATTAAAATTTAAAAAAGAAATGAATGTGAATTTAAACTTCTTTCACATGTATATAAGATGGCTTGTCACAAGGCCCAAAAGATAACAGAAAGAGTGCATGTTTTGCAAGTGGGATGTCAGGATTCTGTCCTGCACGTCACCCATGTCACCCCCAGAGCACCAACAGTTGTAGTCCAGAAACCGTTATTGAAAAGAGAGATGGAGGGGCTGGAGTGATAGCACAGCAGGTGGGGCATTTACCTTGCACACAGCTGACCCGGGTTCGATTCCCAGTGTCCCGTATGGTCTCTCAGGAATTACCAAGAGTAATTCCTGAGTACATGATCCAGGAGTAACCCCTGTGTGTTGCCGGGTGTGACCCAAAAAGCAAAAAGAAAAAAAAAAAATATATATATATATATAGAGAGAGAGAGAGAGAAAAGGAAGGGGGGAAGGGAGTGAGGAAAAGAAAGGAGGGGGTGCTTGCTTCGGCAGCACATAAACTAAAATTGGAACGATACAGAGAAGATTAGCATGGCCCCTGCGCAAGGATGACACGCAAATTCGCGAAGCGTTCCATATTTTTTAAAGAAACTTTGGTACATCTACAAAATGGAGTACTATGTAGCTCTTAGAAAAGATGAAGTCATGAAATTTACATACAAGTGGTACAATATGGAAAGTATCATGCTAAGCGAAATGAGTCAGAAAGAGAGGGATAGACATAGAAAGATTGCATTCATCTGGGGGATATAAAGTAACAAAGTATGAGATTAATACCCAAGAATAGATGAGATCAACACCAGGAGGATTACTCCATAGCTTAGTGGCCAGTCAGGCATTCTAGAGGAAAGGGCAGCTCAGATAGAGAAGGGAGCACCAAATAAAGGTGTTGGGAGGATCCTCCCAGGATGGGAGAAGCTTGCTGAAAGTAGACTGTAGACCGAACATGATTGTCACCCATTGCCTCTTTTGCAAACCACAACGCCCAATAAGAATGAACAAAAGGGAATGCCCTGCCACAGAGGCAGGGTGGGATGGGGGGTGGGAGGGTTACTGGGATCCGTGGTGGTGGGAAATGGGCACTGGTGGAAGGATGGAAATTTGATTATTGTATAATTGAAACCCAAGCACAAAAATTTGTAAGTCTACAACTGTACCTCATATGTCTCACTAATAAAAAAATAAAATAAAATAAAATTTTAAAAAATTTTTAAAAAAAGGAAAGAAAGGAGAGGGGGAGGGAGGATGGGAGGATGGCTTATTATTTTCAACATGCTGGCAGGAGTAGTTAAATGGGAACTGCTGCTTAAATGGGAAGACGGTTTGCATGCAGAAGCCTGGTTCAAGACCTGGTACTGCATGGTCTTTTGAGCCAGAAATAGCCCCTGAGTACCACTAGGTATGAAAAATAAAAATAAAAATAAAATAATAATAATAATAATGACAGGGAGACTGATACAGAATGATCTCATATGTGGAATATGAGTAACATAGTAGGGAAATCACAAATGCCCAAAGACAATAGAAACTGAGAACTTGTCTTCCAAGGCAGGGGAAATGAGGGGCCAGACTGAGGGGACTCTGGGACAATGGTGGAGGGTTGGGACACTCTGGTGCTAGAATGTTTGATGCTTGAAACCCTCCCCCCCCCATTAACAGTACTGTTAATCACGCTTCCTAAAATAATTAAATTCGTCGATTTTTTTTTAAAGATTTAAATGGGAAATCTCATGCATTTAGAAAATTAAACACCTTTTCATGAAGACAGTTTGGTAATCTGTGTTACAGGCTTTAAAAAAAATGATCTGGCAATTTTATCTCATTTACCAATTTCTTTATTTTGGGGATTACACCCAGCAGTCAGCAGTGCTCAGAGATTATTCTGGCTTTGAACCATCAGGCACCTCAAGCTGAGTATGGCTGGAAGTGACCTCCAAAAAAAATAAAAAATGAAAAATCTAATGACAAAAGATGACTTTGAAGTAAAAAAAAAAAATAGTGCCCTTGATAGTTTTTTTTAATTTAATTATATTATTTCAGAACTTTATTTTAAACTGAATAATTGAAATGCAATAAGGCAGTCATTTGCTTTTAAATTACTCCTAAGTTTCAACATAATCAAATTTGAAGCACTCCCAGAAAAAGAAACTCTTAATACATAGTAAAAAAATGTAAATTTCCCCGTGCTTGCGGATTTTAACTTCCTTTTTTTTTTCTTAAAGAAGATTTTAACTTTTCAAATTATACCCTTCAAGTATCCAATCCTGGGGTCCAGCTCAAGGACCGCAGGGCCTTGGTAGTTTTTTTAACCTTTAGGTTAATTCAGCTAATATATAATCAGTGCTATAGCTATGTAAGAGAGATGAAAGATCTGTTACTTTATTTAAAATAAACTATATTTTGGTTCTTAAAGTTTATTCCATAAAGTACACATTTTTCCCCTATCAACTCCCTGTATATACAACAGAGGTAGAAAGGAAACATTTTTTAAATATTTTTATTTTCACCAAAGTGTAGAGCTTCGTTTGGGGGCCACTTCCCTGTTCTGGGAGAGATGATGGGGTCGAAGGTATATTTTTAATTTATTTTCTTTCCAGCCTCAAAAAAAAAAAAAAAGGGGGAGTTTTGAAGTTTTATGGCCAGAGATAAAGTCCAGGGTTGCACGTGCTTCTGTGCACTGGGCCAGCCCCCTGTCATCCCCAGCAGCATGTGTGGTCCCCCAAGCACCACCAGCCGTGTTCCATGACAGGAAACCAGGAGGAAAGCTTGGGGATCTCCAGTGTGCCCCCCAGCCCCTCCCCACCCACACACACACATAAAAAATGTACAAAATAAACCACAGCAGAAGGAGATCAATTAATCCAACGCAATAGGAAGTTTTCTTTGGGGACACGCTCCCGTCCCTCTTCCACCCACCCTCCCTTCCAGCCTGCCCTTGCAGATGGTACAAAAAGGTTAGGTTTTTGCTGCAGAAATATCACCACCTTACTTGTTTGGGTTGAGTCTGAGAATTCGGTTCAGGCTTTGTAGAATGGGATTATTGGGGGCTGCAGTGATAGTACGGCGAGGAAGGTAGTGCAGCAGGGAAGACGCTCGCCTTGAACGACGCCCCCCCCCCACCCCCCACCCCAGGTTTCATCCCCGGCATCCCATATGGCCCTCCAGTCCCCACCAGGAGCGATCCGTGAGCACCTTCTCGTGGGCCCCCCAAAAAATGAATTATAAAAATAAATAAAAATTGGATTTTTCTTCAACTCCTCTTTTCTGCGGGTTTTCTTTGCCGGCTGTTTTTCCTATCCACTGTGCTGTGGGAATTTAATCCTGCCCCTATGGGTGCTTTCTTTTGACAATGGAATCGGTAGGTCCTCTGCCACCAGGTTCTTGATGAATCGTGCCTCGGTATAATGAACCTGTGAAAGTTTCATGTTGCTTCACTAAGCAGCCCTTCATTATAATGAATAAAATGCATCTCTTGAAAACATTCCGAGCTGGCAACAGTAAAGGAAAACGAATGCTATAAAAGACGCTTTTTTTTTCCCTGACCCAATCCGTGATGCGAGGGATCATCCTGCAGATATAATTCCTAAACTATTCTTCCTCTGCCCTCCAAAGGAATACCTTTGCGGGACAGGGGATTTTATTGGGGAGGGCAGTGGCCATTATTCTGAAATTCAAGCCCAGAACTTGTCCGTTCTGGCCTGCAGACTTGGTTCCCTCTGTGGAAAAGTTTTCATGGAAATCATCAAAGTAAATTTATAAGAAAAATTAAGTGATAATTTTGGTTTTTAAAAACCAAATCTATAAAAACAGATCTACAGATCTGTCAATAGATCTTCTGAATCTTCTCCACATCATGGGAAGTACACTGTCACATGCATATGTTGAACTCTGTGTTTAATTAAAGTTAAAATTTTTAATCACAGATGTTATAGGATAACTCACATGCATTAGTTAAGTTAACTTTCTGTTATTAGAGAAAGTTAAAATTGTTTAATTACTGCTATTATGGGTTAATGAATCAGCTTAACTAAATAAATACGAGTACAGGAGAACTTTTTGAGCCACGTAAAGCATTCTGATAATTGTATTTATAGGACGGTTATAGTTTTCATTGCATACTATGTTCTCGTTACGCTGCTGTATAACAGTGAATAATCCAGCAGTATTTTGAGATCGACTTAAAAGAATAAGTTATAGTCTGAGATCACAATCAATAAGTGCCAAAGCCAATTTGGATTGAAATCCAAATCTTTCTGGCTTCCAAACATTTTCTTAGTCGTATCTATTCTCAAGAAATACACTGCGTATGCTGTGTAAGGAAGCAAGTGATAGAGTTACTCCATAATTTGGTCCATACTGATAAAATTTCTAGATAATTGGAGTGTAAGCCTTAAGGTGTTTTTGTTTTTGTTTTAAGTAAAAGAGGTTTCATTTGGAGGTTTTTAGAAAGGGGAAGAAGGGAGAGAAAGTGAAAGAGTAACATGCTCAAGAGAGAACACGGGCTTCTCCAAAGGCGGAGAGAGCCCCTACACACATCCCAGTATTAGATACGGAAGCATGAGAGTCCACATCTCAAGAGGGCATATGCGGACGCCACATGCGCTCGGCCATGTGGGCACAAATAGCACATGGACTGGGCAGCATATGCGCCTTCAGGTGTTTCTTTAAGCTGCTCCTCAAGCCTTTGTTGTCCCTTGAACACACATTCACTTGCTTGTCTAATATTTCTTTGCTTGCCTGTGTTCTGTCTTCCTCTCTCTCCCCTCACATCTTTCTAAATAAACCCCAATAAAGCATATCTTCATTCACACACACACGCGCACACACACACACACGCGCACACACACACACACACACACACACACACACACACACACAGAATAGATACGACTTCTTTAGGCTGAAGGTGACTCAAAGGACTGGATTCCATGACTTGTGTGTGAGAAGCCAAGCTTGATCCTGGCATTTCACGGCCACCCCCCACCTCCGTGCTGAGAAACAGGAAGTGTGTGCCTCACCCACTAAAAAAGATGTTCCTTTGTCACAAAAAAAAGCATCCTTTTTTTTTTTCATTAATTCACAGCGGTGCCTTTGATGATTTACACTGAAGAAGAAAAGGATTCTTTTGCTCTTAACAAAATGCCTCGAATTTCCATGCTTTTTGTATCACTGCCTCACAATTTTGTGATCCTTTCTTTCTTACATAAAGTTTTTTTCGGAACTTCCACACATTTGCCACTTGATTATTTTGCTCGTAAAGTACTTTATAATTTTTACTTTAAAAAATGGAACAATTCACCTTAAAAATAAATGAATCTTTTCAATCATCTAAATTGATCTCTTTTCTCTTGATTGAATCACTTCTTGAAAGAGAAAAAAAGCCCAAGTTAGTTGTGTATAACATTATTTTTGTCTTAACTGTTAACCTATTTAATTCTACCTTAACTTTCTTTTTTCTTCCACTATTAGGTTTTAACTAAAGAATTTTATAGTCTCCAAGCCTCTTCTGAAAAACGCATTATTGAACTTCAGACACAAAACTCCGAGCATCAGACAAGGCTAGACATTTATGAGAAACTGGAAAAAGAGCTGGATGAAATAATCATGCAAACTGCGGAAAGTAAGTTGCCTCCGTTCCCGCTTCCACCCCTCCATATTTCTTTTTCTTTTCTTTCCTTTTCTCTTCTCTTCTTTTCTTTCTTTCTTTCTTTTTAAAAAATTCAGGCAGCAAACAATGGTATCATATTTAAAATTTCTTTTGATAGATTTCATTTAAAAATGGTTTGGTGTTGTTTTTTTTTTAATTCTGTTTTTAAAAGTATTTTATCTAAGGGCCGGAGCGATAACACAGCGGGTAGGGCGTTTGCCTTGCCCACGGCCAACCCAGGTTCAGTCCCCAGCATTTCATATGGTCCCCCGAGCATCGCCAGGAGTAATTCCTGAGCGCAGAGCCAGGAGTAACCCCTGAGCATTGCTGGGTGTGACCCAAAAAGCAAAAAAAAAAAAAAAAGGAAGAAGAAGAAGAAAAAACAGTATTTTATATAATGCTAATAGTTGGGAGATACCCAAAAATTAGGCAAATAGGATAGATTTTTTTTCTCTTTGTTTTTTTCACTCATTCAACAGTTCATGTAGGAGAAATACTAGGGTTCTGGACTTCATGCAATAATTCTTGCTTAGCAGGTTCTAGTCAAGTCTTATGGGAGTGACAAACATATCAATAGAGAATTAAAACTGTGAATAAGTACTATAAGCTAGAGAAAGGCAGTTATCGAATACATGATGAATCATTTCACCTTGGAGGCACACAGTACCTAAAAGGGAAAATGACAGTCAAATGAATCTTAAAGGACAGATCGAAGGTCACAGACTGTATCATGTTATAGTTGTTGGCCTTTAATTTTAATTTCCCTTTTTCACTCTTATTATCTTCTCACATTGTTCCTAACTTTAGGGGAATATTTAAAACTAACATATCACCAGAGCCGTGGTGTTTTATATTGTTTTAAATTGTTATAATTTAAATATTATATTGTTTCATATTTTTATTATATCACGGTCATGGCCCTCCCGTTGTTTATCGATTTGCTCGAGCGGGCCCAGTAACGTCTCCATTGGAGACTTTGTTGTTACTGTGTCTGGCATATCGAATACGTCATGGGGAGCTTGCCAGGCTCTGCCGTGCGGGCGAGATACTCTGGGTAGCTTGCCGGGCTCTCCGAGAGGGGCGGAGGAATCGAACTCGGTTCAGCCATGTTGGCTGCATGCAAGGCAAACGCCCTACCACTGTGCTATTTTTATTATATATTTTTATTATATATTATATTATAATATAATTATATTATATTATATGCACTGTAGCACTGTCCTCCCATTGTTCATTGATTTGCTCGAGTGAGCACCAGTAATGTCTCCATTGTTAGACTTGTTACTGTTTTTGGCATATAGAATACGCCACGGGGAGCCTGCCAGCCTCTGCCATGCAGGCTGGATACTCTCGGTAGCTTGCGGGCTCTTTGAGAGGGACAGAGGGATCGAACATGGGTCAGCTGCATGCAAGGCAAACGCCCTACCCACTATGCTATCGCTCCAGCCCATATATATTATATAAATATATATTATATATTTAAATATTATATTGTTTTAAAGTCGGAAATAGCGCAAGATGGGTGTAATTCAAATCTATACAACACCCTAATTATTTGGGGAACATTTTCTGATAAGAATCAATTTAAGAAATTAAAGAAAAGAGATTAATAAAATTTTCATTCATTTCTTTAGCCATCCTCACCTCCACCTTTTTGGGAGATGGTGTATTTTGGGCCACAGTCAATAAATGTTTTGAAGTGTTCAGGGTCCGCTCCTGGCTCTGTGCTCCAGAGTCACTCCTGGCACTGCTTGGGAGACTTGGTGCTGAGGACCAAACAGGGCTTGGCTGCGAACAAGGCAAGTGCCTTGACCCATGTACTCTCCTCTCTAGCAACTTCTCTCTTTCCATTTCAAAGACCATTGACTATTGATAACTGCAATTGTTTCCAAGTTTATTTTCAGTCTCTTAACTAGAGTCATAGTCACTTTATAAGACACATACAGCAGTTTCAATGCCTTTCTGTTTTCTTTTAAGACAGCACTGTAGCACTGTCCTCCCGTTGTTCATCGATTAGCTCGAACGGGCCCAGTAACGTCTCTGTTGTGAGACTTGTTGTTACTGTGTTTGGCATATTGAATACATCACGGGGAGCTTGCCAGGCTTTGCTGTGCAAGGGAGATACTCTTCGGTAGCTCTCCAAGAGGGGCGGAGGAATCGAACATGGGTCTGCTGTGTGCAAGGCAAACGCCCTACCGGCTGATCTATCACTCCAGCCCTTAAGACAGCATAAAGTAAAATTCTTCAGCATTACTTTGTATGTTTCATTTTTCTATCTTACTATGCCTCGCCTTCCCCTCATTATTATTTTGAAAGCACATAGACTTTCTTATTCCTGTAACTTTGTATATTTTCACTCTATGTGAGTCAGAAATAAAAGAGCCTTCCTCAATCTGTTAAGGACATCTACCGAAAAACCTATTGTAACATCATACCTGATGATAAACTATTAAGTGCTTTCCCTTTAAGGGAGAGAATAAGGCAAGGATTTCTGTTTTTATAATTCATGTTAAATATTTTGTTTGAACTAATAATAAAGTGAAATAAAATGGGTCAAGGGAAAAATAGACATTCGGCTAAGAAAGAGAGTACAGCTCCATTTTCAGCTTTATAAGCAGTCACTAACTAATGGATAAACTTAATAAGCAATATGTAAACATAAAAACATACTAGAAGCAAATGCCAAATACTTGGAGAAGGAAATTTAAAAAGCAAGTTTATATGCTATAGTATCAAATTTTAAAAAACAAATACGTGTGATCCCTATAAAAGAAGTAAAGAGAATTGAGTAAGGTTAAAAAAAAAAAAATACACCAAAGTACTTGGAAATAAATTCAGTAACAAAAATGAATACAAGACACTGTTAAAAGAAAGTAAGATCTACCCAAATATCTGGAGATATACCATTCATTCTGCCGGGCCAGAGGGATAATACAGGGCTGGATGTGATTATCTTGACCGCAGCTGACCCTAGCATCACATGTTGTAGCCCTCAATCCCCAGAAACTCTAGGAGGGCCCCCCCCCCCACCCAAGCACAGAGTGAGTAGGACTCCGGGCTCTACTGGAGATAACACCCCACCACCACCACCACCACCATTCCCCAAAGACCCACAAACTTCCTCTTGTTTCAATGCTAATCTTTTTTAAAAATACTTTTTATATCCCATATCTATAAAAATGCAAAGTGCGTACCAAAAGGGCTGTCCTCCCATTGTTCATTGATTTGCTCGAGCAGGCCCAGTAACCTCTCCATTGTGAGTCTTATTGTTACTATGTTTGGCATATCGAATACGTCACCAGTAGCTTGCCAGGCTTTGCCGTGCGGGCAAGGTACTCTCAGTAGCTTGCTGGGCTTTCCGAGAGGCGCAGAGAAATTGAACCCGGCTCAGCCGGGTCGGCTGGACGCAAGGCAAATGCCCTACTGCTGTGCTATCACTCCAGCCCATCAAAAGGGCTATTTTGATAATACCACAACACGGCCTACTATAATGGCAGAAATTAGCAAGACCAGGGCCAAAAGATAGATTGATTGGTTGAAGTACCTTCTGTGTACACAGGGGGCCCAGTTTCTATCCCTGGCACCCATAGATTCCCCAAGCACACCAAGAGTGACCCCTGCAAGCAACAAGCCAGGAACCCCAGAGCATAGGCAAATGTGACACAAAAGCAAGTGAAAAGAAGTGAGCAAGACTGGCTACGCCAGATGTTAATGTGAATGGGGAACAACTGGCAGCTTTCTATAAAACCAGATTATCTCTCCAGTGAACCAGCAATTTCATACCATTTTTCCCAAAAGAAAATAAGTGTATGCACACAGAAAGACGTCTATGCTAATATTCATAAGAACTTTATTCATAATAGTTAAAAACTGGCAATTGCCCAGGTGTCTACCACAGGAAAATGATTAATAATCATAAATGCATGCAGTAGAATACTACGACTCAGTAAAAAGAAACAAACTGTGATTGCTTGGATAAATAACTTGAATAAATATGAGAAAATTTGTGCTTGGTTTGTTGGGTTCTTGTGGGTTTTGATTTTGTTTTTTTTTTTCATACTTGGTCCATACCCAGTATTGCTGAGGGCTTAATTATAGCTCTGCATTCAGGAATTACTTCTGGCAGTACTCTGAGCACCGTATGGGATGTCATGGATCTCACCCTGGTGGTCATATGCAAGGCAAGCACCCTACCTGCTGTACTGTGCTGCACCAACCCCACTAAGTCTTATGTGATTCACTTTATATTAAAGTCCTAGAAGAGGCCAGAGTAATCTGTGGAAGAAAAAGCTCAGCAGTGGTTACCTCTAAGGATATAATTGTCACCGAGATATCAATGGAAAAAAGTGTTACAAGGGAACTTTCCAGAGCATTGAACTATTCTATATCTTGATAGGGATTGGGATACCCCATCATATAGTTCTTTTCTTTATTTTTAAATAAGTAATTATGTGTTTAATTTTGGTATGGGGGTCATCCCTGCTGATGCTCGGGCTCCCTCCTGACTCTCTACTCAGGGATCACTTCTGGCAAGGCTGAGGGACTATATGGAGTGTCAGGGACTGAACCTGTTCAGCCACATGCAAGGCAGCTGTCTGTCCACTGTGCTATTGTTCTGGCCCAAATTTTTTTTGTTTGTTTGTTTGTTTGTTTTTATTTTTATTTATTTATTTTTTTACAGTTGTAGATTTACAATTTTTTTTGTGCTTGGGTTTCAATTATACAATGATCAGATACCCATCCCTCCACCAGTGCCCGTTTTTCACCACCATGGATAATATCCCTCCCACCCCCATCCCCCCATCCCCCCCTGCCTCTGTGGCAGGACAATCCCCTGTGTTCTCTCTCTCCGTTTGGGTGTTGTGGTCTGCAAAAGAGGCATTGAGTGGCAAACATGTTCAGTCCATAGTCTACTTTCGACATGCATCTCCCCTCCTGGGAGGATCCTCCAAACATCCTTTATTTGGTGCTCC